TGTGTCACCATGCCCAGCTGCTAGTCAGTTCTCTGAAAGATTAATTAAATTGCAAAACCTATTGAGCAATCATGAAAAAAGACAAAGCATAAGCAATGCTTATCCAAAAATTGTAACCGTGGATGCTCTTCCCATGGAAAACACAGTGAGTGTGTGATGAGCCAGGAGACAAATGCAGCTGACCAAAATTGACTCAGGAAGAGATAGAAAACTCCAGCAGTTTTGTAGCCATTAAAGATATGCAATTAGTTATTCCAAATCTCTCTCACACACACACACACACACACACACACACACAAATCCCAGGTCCATATAACTTCATTGGTAGAGCTCTGTAAAGTCAAGGAAAATACTTTTCTAATGTTACACAAATGTTTTAGAGTCTCAAAAGTGAGAGAATCCTTCCTACATGAGTTCCCTAGACTTGCGTTAACAAAGTTACACAAGCTGGTGGCTTAGAACTACCAAAGGTTATTGTGTCACTGTTCTGGGATCAGAAGTTTATAATCAAGATATCAGTAGGAAGCCAGCCATGGTGGCACAGGCCTGAAATCCCAGCATGCTGGGAGGCTGAGGCAGGACAATCACAGAATGGAACCCAGCCTGGCAACTTAGTAACTAGGTAAAAAAAAAAAAAAAATTGTTTCCACTAAAAAGGCTGAAGATGTGGCTTGGTGGGAAGACTCTGGGTTCAATTCCCTGCACCAAAAGTAACGAATAAAAAAACCAATCACCAGGACTACTTTTCCTTCCGAGGCTTTCAGTAAGAAGCCTCTTTCCTTGTCTCTTCAGCTTCCTGTGCTGGCAATCCTTGGATTATAGATACTTCACTCCATTCCCTACCTCTTCATATGACCTTCTTCCCTATATGTCTATATCCACATTTCCTGATCAGGTCTAGTATGGCCTGTTCTTAATCTGATTACATCCACAAAGACCCTTTCCATATAAAGTCACATTCATGGCTTCTGGGCGGACACTAGTTGATCCAGTACACATCTTTCCTCTTTTTGAGAGGTCAGCATAACCTTGATACCAACATCTGTCAAAGTCAGGATAGGAAAGCAAAATTATAGGACAATTTTATTCATAAACATAGGCAAGGAAATCTTAGTGTATTCTAAAGCTGAACCTAATATAATGTAAAAGGTTTCATAATAATCACTTTTATTCTAGTGATATTAGATTGGTTGAACACTTGATCAATGTTATGCTATCCTATAATTATTTCGAGAAGTGCAAGAAAATACACTGAGTAACATTTGACATGGATCTAAGTTGAAAATTCTAATAAACTAGATGTAGAAAGGAAATGGGTAAATGATATCTATGTTTAAAAACCTACAAAAAACTTCAAATAAATGGTGAATTGAAAGCTTTACTTATGAGAAAGGAAGAAGAAAATGCTGAGTTTTCACCATTTCTATTTGATACTCTGTCCGAGGTCCTAGGCAGTCCAGTAAGCTAGAAAATAAAGTCAATAGTATAAGGATTAGAAAGGAAGAGGAACAACTTCATTCATTATTCAGAAGATATGATAATGTTTGTAGAAAAATAAAATAATCTAGAAATGTATTAGAATTAATAAGAGAACCTAGCAATTTTGCTGGATATAAATCAGTATCCAAAAATTTATTGGATTTTTCTAATTTTGAAATAATTAAAAAGTGAATCACTATACCCTTGTGAGTGGGCTTTGCCTGGGCATGGTGCAACAGGCTTGTAATCCCAGAATTTGAGAGAGGAAGATCACAAATTCTAGTCTAGTTTGGGCAACTGAGCAGTACCCTGTTTCAAAACTATATATAAAAAAAGACTGGGGCTATAACTCAGTGTGAAGGCCCCAGTACCAAGGAGAGGGGAGACTGGGTTTTGTAATCAAAACGCGTACATTTAAATCCTAATGTGACTTGTTAGTCATGCCTGAAACAATCAATTAACATCTCAAAGACTTAATTCCTTACCTGTAAAATGGGATTGTTAAACTATTTAACATGTTATGAAATTAAATGAAACAATATGAGACTATTTGGCACAATTTCTATTTTCCAATAAACATTAATTTCTACTTTTCACAAAAAATTATCCCAGTGTAAAGCAATAAGAATGATAGGCTTGAGGCACAAACTTGGTTTAATCTTGTTTCTCTGAACCAAAAAGAATTTTAAAGAAAACACTGGAATAGAGAGTCAAACATAATGGCTTGAGGAGGGAAAAAAAGCATAGTTCCTGGATTGATACTGGGTGGGAAAAGAAACAGGTGAATAGGCTGACTGTGAAGTAATTAGTTTTAAACTCATGCCGAGTTTACTGACTTCAAATGAGATAATGCTATATGAAAAAGTTTGCCTTCTCAAGGCTGGGGATTTAGCTCAGCCGCACAGCGCCTGTCTGGCAAGCGCAAGGTCATAAGTTCGATTCCTGGTACTGGAAGAAAAAAAACAAAAAAAAAAAAAAAAGAAAAAGTTTGCCTTCTCTAATCCCCATGTGCAAATAAGATTTTACAGTGTGTCACAATATTAAAAATGTATATATCAAGCTTTCATTTAATGCTTATGTCAGTCATTTAAGATAGATATAGAGACAAAAAGGTTAAGTAACTTATTCAATGTCACAAATTCATTTACATGTATGCATGGGAAAACACTAAGAACTCACCAAAATCTCAAGTTATTATCTGTATGGTGGTATTTAGAATGATGCTAATGTTCTTTATAATTTTGTGCATGTTTTAAATTTGCCAGGATACCTCTGTTATTTTTGTAATCAGGAAAAGCAAGAAATGTGGTTCTATAAATCATTTAAAAATCTATCAAGACATGATTGTAAGGTAGTTGATTAAATATAACTTAGCAAATATTTATGCATTTCACTCTGAAATAATATTGTAATGATTTGTATTCTTAACAAAGATATGGACTCAGTTGCTGTCAAGAGGATTGACAAACAGCGTTAGGTAAAAAATGGGAGTCAATTCAATCTCAAAGTGATGGTTAAGGGCGGCAAGCTCCTATTCTTCTTCTTGGAGCTTTTATTTTTTGTTTGTTTGTTTTTTTTTGTTTGTTTTTTCTCCGGTACCGGGAACTGAACTCACAACCTTGTGCTTACCAGGCAGGCACTTTGCCACTGAGCTAAATCCCCAGCCCCCTTCTTGGAGCTTTTAAATTTGTGTCAAGTGGCTGGGAGCCCTGTAATCCAAGTACTCTGGGAACTAGAGAAGGATTACAAGTTCAAGCACAGCCCTGGCAATTTACCCAACTTAGCAAAACTGTCTGTGGCAATAAAAGAGCAACAAAATGACTGGAAATGTAGCTCAGTGCAAAGCCTGTGGTTTCAATCTTCAGTATCACAAAAGAAAAAGAAAACTGCCTGAGGATATTAGTGTAAAAACAGGGTGTAAAATAGAGTTACCGCCTCCCAAATGAAAAGGTAGATCTTAGAAGGTCATAGGATTCCTGGTAGAGATTTGAAGATTGTTCTTTCATTTTGTTCTACAGTTTCCACTCAGTCCTTTCTTGTGTCTCAGGACAAACCGACCAGAACTCAAAGGATCTGTGCTTTCCTTTTTTCTTTTTTTAAGGTGTGCACTTTTATTGAACTGTACTGGAGTCAGGGTACAGGTAAGCCCTGGCTGCTTCTACACCTCGACTCGCTCCCAGGAACACCAAAAGCCTTCACACATCAAGTTGGGGGACAAAAAGGGGGGCTATGATGGCTGACTATTCAAAATAAAACAAAATTAAAATGTGAAGATTTTAAAAATTAATGTGATTAAAATTAACTAATTAATTAAAATTAACTAATGTGAAGATTTTAAAAATTTGCATTACATAATTTACACCAAAGCAGTGCTGTCACCTCCCCTGCATGGACTCAGGAGGCCTGATCCCTCCTCTGTGCAGAGGAGCGGGGCAGCTTTTGGGAAGGTGAGGGACTTCCTGTAACAATGCATCTCACGATATTTGGCATGATTACAAAAAAAGAAAACAGTGTACAATCAAAGTCCGTGGCCACATTGTAGAACTTCGGGGATGCTCACTCCAACCGACTGTTGTCCCCTTCAAGTTTCCAGTTTTTAAATCCCTAGTCAAAAGCACCAAAACAAAAAACAAAACAAAAAAGAAAAAACAAATAAAACCACGCCAATCTCATCTGGTTTTCTGCTCGCAAGTTAGGTTTTTGTCAAAAAGGGGTGAAACGCAGCGAAGTAACAGTCCTCCTAGAAGCATTTGCCGTGCACGATGGAGGGGCTGGACTCCTCCTACTCCTGCTTGCTGATCCACGTCTGCTGGAAGATGGAGAGCGAGACCAGGATGTAGCTGCCGATCCACACGGAGTACTTGCGCTCAGGGGGAGCAATGATCTTGATCTTCATCGTGCTGGGTGCCAGGGCCATGATCAGAGCCTCTGAGCAGCGGAAACGCTTGTTGCTAATGATGATCACCTGGCCATCCGGCAGCGGGTAGCTCTTCTCCAGGAAGGAGGAGGAGGATGGGGCGGTGGCCATCGTCCGGGGCAACGCAGCACAGCTTTTTCTTGATGTCACGCACGATTCCCCGCTCAGCCGTGGTGGTAAAACTGTAGCCACGCTCCATCAGGATCTTCATGAGGTAGTCCGGCAGGTCTGGGCGAGCCAGGTCCAGACGCAGGACGGCGTAGATGGGCACAGCGTGGGTGACCCCATCACCGGAGCCCATCACGATGCCAGTGGTACAGCCAGAGGAGTACAGGGACGGCACAGCCTGGATGGCCACATACCTGGCTGGGGTGTTGAAGGTCTCGAACACGATCTGGGTCATCTCCTCACGGTTAGCCTTGGGGTTCAGGGGAGCCTCGGTCAGCAGCACGGGGTGCTCCTCGGGGGCCACACGCAACTCATTGTAGAAGGTGTGGTACCAGATCGTCTCCATGTCGCCCCAGCTGGTGACGGTGCCGTGCTCAATGGGGTACTTCAGAAACGGGATACCTCTCTTGCTCTGAGCTTCATCTCCAGCGTAGGAGTCCTTCTGATCCATGCCTACCACGACGCCCTGATGCCCCAGGAGCCCCACGATGGAGGGGAAGACGGCGCGGGGGGAGCCGGCGTCATCTCCCGCGAAGCCAGCCTTGCACATGCCACAGCCATTGTCTGCAACGGGAGCAGCTGCGTCGTCACCCATGGCCAGCTGCTGGCGGTGCGCACCGGCGGCGGCGAAGCGAGGGGTGCACTCGCGGGCTGGACGCAAGCTCCTCAGGCTGAGCTTTCTTAAGAGTGATCAGGTCCCTTTGTGTCAATAGGAAAGCCCAAGACTGTCTCAAAGCTGTTTTCTCTTTGTCTTTGTGTCCTTTAGGTGCAGACATCCATGGCTTCAGTGCACCTAAAATCTCCGGCCCCGCATTGGGATCCATAGTAGATGAAATACAGAGATATAGGAAGCCTGTGGTGGCGGCGATCCAAGGCGTGGCCTTAGGAGGTGGACTGGAGCTGGCTTTGGGCTGTCACTACAGGGTCGCACACGCAGAGGTAACAGCTGAGCTCCACGTGGGGGTTGGAGTGGGGGTGCTTTTCTTTAGGACCAAATCTAGATGTGGTCAGAAGCATCGGAGGTGATCATTTTAAATGGTTAACCTTGTTAACACAAGGTTAACAAGCCTTGGGTATCTCCTGCACCGATGCTGAGGTGCACTGTCCACTCATACCTGTGATGGTTCAGATGTGGCAACATTTCCGCTCTGGTTAGTAAATGGCCTCTACTCTGAGTCCTCCGTTTCTTTACTTCCCCTAACTTTCACTCCAGGACCGTATCATGATCCCCCACCATCAAAGGGGAACTCCATTCTATTATATTATTTTCTGCTTTCTTTTCAGTGTAATTTTTTTCCTGATAGCTTTTTTTCTTTGTCTTTTTTCTTAAACCAGCACTTGGGAGTTTATTTTTTTGGTTTATATGTTTTTATATGAATATCATATTAGTCCATCATTAAATATCCTTTATTCTGCTCATCCCTGTCTTTTAATTGGACAAGTTAGTACTGTATACATTTACCTTTAATATATTTACCCATGAAAAACTTTTTTTTTTTTTTTTTCCGGTACTGGGAATTGAACTCACGGCCTCACACTTGCCAGGCAGGCGTTGTGCCGCTGAGCTAAATCCCCAGCCCCTACCAATGAAAAACTTAACTTCTACTATTTTGCCCTTTTTTCCTGTGTTTGTTGCTTAGTTCCTTTATTAATGGTTTCATTTTGGTTAAATATATATTTTTAGTGTACCTTTTAATTCTCTTCTGTTTTTTGTTTTTTTTTTTTTTTGTCTTTTTGAAACAAGGTCTCGCTATGCAGTTCAGGCTGTCCTTGAGCTCACTTTGTAGCCCAGGCTGGTCTCGAACTTGCAAGGATCCTCCTGCCTCAGCCTCCCACGTGCTGGGATTACAGGCATGCACCACCATGCCCAGCTCTCTGGTTTCTTATACAATATTTTATTTATTTATTTATTTATTTGGTACCAGCAATTGAACTCAGGACCTTGCTCTTGCCAGGCAGGTGCTTATGCCACTGATTTAAATCCCTGGCACTTTTATTTATTTATTTATTTGGTACCAGCAATTGAACTCAGGACCTTGCTCTTGCCAGGCAGGTGCTTATGCCACTGATTTAAATCCCTGGCACTTATACAATATTTTAGAATTAATTTCTCAGTGGTGGTCGGCCTTGTGATTACAATTAAAGTCTTAATTTGTGGCAGTCTAGTACAGATGAATGCCAACTTAATTTTGACAGTAAACAAAGTCTTTGTTACCACTCCTTTATGTAGCTACTGTCACAAATTATACCTTTTCACATCATGTGGCCACCAATATAGAGCTATACTTATGCATTCTATAGCAGTCATATAAGCAAGAACCAGAGGAATTGCAAACAGAAAATATGTTAGTACTGTCCTTTTCCATTTACCTGTATGGTTACCCTTTAATCTTGTTCTTTATTTCTTCATGTGAATTGAAACTACTGTCCATTGTCCTTTCACTTCCAACAGAAGGATTTCTTGTAGGACCTATCTGCTACCCAAAGCTTCAGTTTTTGTTTACCTGGGAATATATTAATTTTGCCCTAATTTTTAAAGGTGTACATAGAATTTTTGGCTGACAGTTGTTTTCTTTCAGCAGTCATTCCATGCCTCTGGCTTTTGTGATTTCTGATGAATAATCATCTTAACCTTATTTATTTATTTATGTTTTGTCTTTTTTGAGACAGGGTCTCGCTATGCAGTTCAGGCTGGTCTTGAGTTCACTTTGTAGCTGAGGCTGGCCTCGAACTCACAACTATTCTCCTGCCTCAGCCTTCTGAGTGCTGGGATTACAGGCATGTGCCACCACACCCAGCCTCATTTTAACCTTATTGTAAATATTCTGTAAATATCATGGTTTGCAATGCCATGGGTTATTTTAATCAAGAAGTGAATAATTATTTTTGTTTATTAGTACATGTTTGCAGTACATACTGTTTGTTTTCCTTGTGGGGAACTGGTACATGTACATAACACATCGTAATTAATTATTTTTTCATCTTCTTTCTCCTCCCCTCCCTTCTCCCTCCCTCTCTTGATCCTCTTCCCATTTGAGAAAGATCTATCGCTCCACTTCCTATTATCTGTCTTTTATTTTGTTCTTTATAATTTGGGTTCTCATATCAGAGAAACAATGGGACATTTAAGCTTGTGTGTCTGATCCATTTCACTTAACATTTTGGTTTCAAGGTGCATCCATCTTCCTCCAGATGACTTAAGTTTATCCTTCTTTATGGCAGAGTAACACTCCATTGTGTGTAAAAAAAACACTTCTTTATACATTTGTTGATGGACAGATAGTTTGCTTCTAGGATTTAGCTATTATGAATTGTGCTGCTATTAATATGGGTATGCATCTGTCACTGTAATATGATGTCTAACTTTTTCAGGAAGATATCTAGAAGGGGAATAATAGGGTCAAGTAGAATTTGATTTTTTTTGTTTTTTGCGGGGTTGTTTTGTTTTGTATTATACAGGGTCTTGCTTTGTAGTGCAGGCTGGCCTGAAACTCACAATGTAGCCCAGGCTGGCCTTGAACTCATGGCAATCCTCCTGAGTGCTTGGATTGCAGGCATATGCCACTGTGCCTGACATTCAAATAGAATCTGTAGTTTTAGCTTTTTGAGGAATCTCCACACTGATCTACATAGTGGTTGTACTAGTTTACATTCCCCACAACAATGCAGAAGGGTTGCCTTTTCCTTCACAGCCTCTCCAGCACTTATTATTGGATTTATTGAAGATAGCCCTTCTTTCTGGGCTAAGATATTATCTCAGTGTTGTATTAATTTGCACATCTTTAATGGCCAGTGATGTTGAGCATTTCTTCATATGTTGTGATCATTTGTATTTCTTTTGTTGTGAAGTGTAAATTTGTTTCACTTGCCCATTTTTGATTGGGTCTTTTATTTGGGGGAAGTCTAATTTTTTTGAGTTCTTTATATATTCTAGACATTACTCCTCTGAGGAATAACTTGCAAACTTTTTTCCCATCCTTTTCCCATCCTTTTCCCATCCTTTCCCATCCTTTTCCCATACTCCCTTCCCAACAGAGTAAAAAGGTTTTCTTTTTACTCTGTTAGCTATTTCTTTTGCTATAAGAAGCCTTCTAATTTGATATGATCCTATTTGTTGATTTTCAGTGCTATTTCCTGTGCAACCAGGGTCCTATTCAGAAAGTCCTTGCTTACACCTAAGATTGCAAGAGTTTTATCTATTTATCATCCAGCAAATCAATTGTTCCTGTTTAATGTATGGTTCTTTAATCCATTTTGATTTTAGTTTATAGCACATAGTAAGATATAGGTCTAGATTTACTCTTCTACATGTGGGTAGCCAGATTTGCAAACACCATTTATTAAAAAGGCTATCTTTTCTCCGCTGTGTGTTTTTGGCCTCTTTGTCAAAGATCAAATTGTTGAGTGCACTTGAAGCTGTTTCTGAATCTTCTATTCTGTTCCACAGATCCATGTGTCTGTTTTTGTGTCAGTACTATACTGTTTTTAGCACCATAGCTTTTCAGTATAACTTCAACTCTGGATTGTGCTGCCTCTTCCTTTGCTCATGTTACCCAGGATTGCTTTTGCTATTCTGAGTCTCTTATGGCTTCATATGAATTTAAAGATCTTTTGCTCCACTTGTTATTCAACTCTGATATATCTTCATTGATTTTTTATTTAGTTGATTTATTTGTCACAATGGGATATTGAGGTTCCCAACTATAATTGTACTTATACTTATCTGATATTTTATGTCAAGAGTAATTGTTTCATGATGTTGGGTGCACTGTTGCTTGGTGCATATATTTAATAACTGTTATCTCTTTCTGTTGGATTGTTTCCTTAACCAATATCTAGTGACCTTGTTTGCCTCTCTTGATCAGTTTTGGCTTAAAATTCCTTTGTCTGAGTGTAGGACTCTAGTTCTTTTCTATGCTGGTCATTCATAGTTTGCATTATGTTTTGTTTATCTCTGACAGCTTTTTATTAGTAGTATCTTCTGTAGACTCACTGATCATCTTGTTTATTTGACTCAATTATCTGTCTACTTATATCTTCTTTGAACTAGCCAAGTGACTTACTGATCTCTTCTATTATCTTCTCTGATATCATTTCAAATAATCTGGGTGTTAGCTTTTGGGTTTGTCCCCTTAGAAGCCCCATGATTCAGCTTCAAGAGAGTTGAGAGTTTTGGGGAGGCATTTTGTTGGTTTGTCTTCTTGTGTTTCTATTTTGTATATTTGTTTTTGAGTTGAAGCTTGCAGTTTGATTGTAACGGAAAGTTTTGCTTCTAATATGGAGACCTCTTGGGTAATGTCTACTTTTGAGGAATGTCATCTAGGTGTGGCTCATTATTGGCCTTTGCTTCTGTCCCAGGATCCAATCATCTCTGTTTACTTGGGATGGGTGATTGTAGAATATTTGGCTCAGTATCCAGTTCTCTAGGAATGGGCCATGGTATTGTTAATGGCCCCAAGGCAATCCAGGTATTGGCATCTCAATAAAACTAATTAATAAAATAGCTATGTCACCTTATCTATAGTAATAAAATTGACATCATTCATAGCATCAAATGCAAGTATTGGCAAACCCCGAGGACCAACAATGTATCACCGTTAACCATAGAAAAGAGATCTGTAGTTATAGTGTGAACACTGAGACAAAATAAATATTGTCCTACAACTGACATACAGTAAATATCTACCTTTTTTTAAACTGGGAATCATCAAACTCAAGACCTCACACTTGCCAGGCAGGCACCATGCCGCTGAGCTATATTCCTGGCCTGATTAATATCTACTAAATGGAACTTTACCTCTACTAACACTAGAACTTACCTCTATCAGCAATAACATAAAGTTAACTAGCTATCTAAAGATTCATAAAGCTTAGTAGTTATACTAGTAAAGGTAGAGGGGGTGAGAAACTGGGGAATGAAAAAAACAACATTTGAAAAATTAATCAATAAGATATAAGAAGGAGAAGAAAAAAGTGAAATAGAGGCTCCTATTGAAGAGTAAAAGAAAATTAATAAGTGTTAGAGAAAGTCACAGGAAAGAACAAACATGAAAAAGAAGTAAAAGGGGGGCTGGGGATTTAGCTCAGCAGCACAGCGCCTGCCCAGCAAGCGCAAGGTCGTGAGTTCGATCCCTGGTACCAGAAAAAAAAAAACAAAAAAAAAAACAAAAAAAACAAAAAAAAAGAAGTAAAAGGATAAAGACAGAAAAATACGGGAAAAAGATAAGGGCAAAGAAAAAAGTTCAAAGGGCAAAAGGATAAAGGAGAGAAAAAAACCTGAAAGAGAAAAGAAAGGAAGAACTCCAAACCCCCTAAAACCCACTGAAGGAAAGATAAAAATAATAAAAAATACAATAACAAAAAAAAATTGAGTCAAAGAAAAAAATCTCCATGTTTTTAAATGAATGTTTTCCTTCCAAGGTCTGCAGTCTTGGGATCTAGCCACTCACAACTTTTTCCACCTAGTTTTAGGACCTATGGGTTTTTAAGGTGCCATACCTGCACTAGAGCACCCTCTGTCCACTTGCTACAGACTGTGTTACCATCCAAGGCAAGGCATCTCCTTGTTCTTTTTGGTAGATGGAAAATGTGATCAGCTCTGGTCTCTGCTATCTATAGACCATGAGGTGGAGGTTCCAGAGGACTATTAGACTTAATGTTAACAGTGACAGGGTCTGGTTGTTCCATTCTCTTTCTGGGGATTGTTTTCATCCAGTATCAGTTCAGTTGGTTACTTCTCACTTTTGCTGCCCTGCGCCAAGGGAAAGCAAAATGTAGAGCCAGGTTGGAGTTGGTGGATGTTCTCCCCCTTGCATTGGAGTGGGGTGCCCACTGTCCGTCTAGCATGGTTTTGCTTATTTGTGTCAGGGGCTAAAATATCATTTTTGTTAAATGTCATTTTAAAAAGTCCTACAGCCTTCCATCATATAGGTAAAGGTTGAGTGCCCTTAATCCCAAATCCAAAATGCTCCAAACTGCAATACTTTATGAGCTATGATGCCGCAAGGTAAAATTCCTGTGACAGTTGAAAATCATAAATCAGGTATATTCACAATATACAAAATTACCCTCAGGCAATGTGTATAAAGGCATATATGAAACATAAAATAATTTGTTGTTTAAATTTGGGTGTCATTCCCAATATATCTGATTGTGTGTATTCAAATATTCCAAAATCCAAAAGCTAAAACACTTCTCCCAAGTAATCAACATAAAGGATATTCAACCCATACCATGATGTCTTTAATTCTTTCCTTGTAGTTTACTAATATGTCTAAAAGTTTATAAAGACACACATATGCCTTCAGAGTACCTTTTATGTGTCCCTCTCCCCATGACCTTCTGCAGAATGAGTAGAGATTGAGTTATGAGCAGTAAGTCAGGGAGAGGCATGAGCAGCAGGGAATGGTGATTGACTTAGGATAAACTCAGGCTCAAATATACAAGACATTTTGGAGTTGTTGGCATTAACAATCTGGGTACACGGCAATCTGTGTTTAAGTAGCCTTCCCTTCCCAACCTTGTACCTGACCAGCAGAGATTTGGCCACTGTTAAATGGCAGAAAAGGCAATGTGGTATGGATTCAACCTCACCATCTTGTCTGGATTGAGATGCATCCTGGCTTTTTTTCTCCTGTACAAGCTTTTTTCAACACCATACAATTGACGCTTTTAAAGTGCATAGTGCAGTGATGTAAGAGTCCATTGGAGTCCATTCAGAGTTGTGTAACCATAATCGCAATTGTAGAATATTTTATCAGCAGTAATAATAACCCTCCATTCCCTCTCTTGCAACACTAGGCAACCACTGATCTACTTTTTGCATGAATAGATTTGTCTGTTCCAGGTATTCATATTGGAGAATTCATACAATATGTGGTCTTTTGTGCCTGGCTTTCCTTCATTTAACATGTGTTTTCAAAGTTCACCCATATTGTGGCACGAACTGGTTCATTATTCATATCCGAGGCTGAATACCATTACTTTGTATAAATATACCACATTTATCCATTCATCAGTTGATGAAAGTTTGGGTTTTTTGGTACTTTTTTGGATTTTATGAACAACTACACATGATAATTTGCATGAGCATTTTTTTTTTTTATTTGTACCAGAAATTGAACTCAGGACCTTGCCCTTGCCAGGCAGGCACTGTGCCACTGAGCTACATCCCCAGCCCTGCATGAGTTATTTTTGAGAACATATATTTTCATTGCTGTTGGGTTTCTACTCAACAGTAGTCTTGCTTGGTCACATGGTAGCTCTGTGGTTAATCTTGGAGGAATTGCAAAATTATTTTCCAGAGTGTTCATATCATTTTATAACCCCCTAGGCAATATATAAGGGTTCTATCTCTTCTATATTTTCTTCAACACTTGAGGTTTTCTGCTCTTGATATATGGGAAATAATATACCTCTCAACCTGTTAGATGTCAGATACACTGAGCTTGTGTTTTCCAAAATTAAAGGGTGAATTTTAAGGAAGAAGAGGTAAAGAGGAGGAAAAATTTATTGAGAGAGATAGCTCCCGAGAGACATGAAAGTGGGTTGCCAATAAACCCACTTCTCAAAAGAAATTTTATAGCGCAAAATCACAAGGTGGGTACAATATGGGTCAAAACTATGATCAGCCAATAAGATTGCATGTATAACTGCTTAGGTAATATTGATTTAATGCGGAAGCAGGTTAATGTAGCAGGTGTATGAGGAAACAGCAAAGTCCTTTTTAGGACTGGTATCAGGGTAATATGTTTTAGGAAGGGCTGGATTAGGAGGTCCTGGTCACCCACCTGAATGACTGATGTCTATCTAGACTTTCTTGGACCAGGTAATATCAATTATAGTATAACATTTAATTTTTTGGTTATCTCTTGGGCAGGCATATAGGCCTGGTCATTTTGTCTTTATCTCAAGGCCTGGCCTTGGACAGATGTACTTCTACCCACAGCTGTAATGTGTTCTCATCTTCTCCACTGACTCTCTCAAGGGCCTAACCTTGTCTGGCAGCCTGTAATATTTCTACCTAACTTAGCTGTCTATAATACTCTTTTTATGATGTTCACTGTAGTGAGTGTGAAGTATCTCACTACAGGTTATTGCTGGATTATTGTTTTGTTCTCCTGATGATAATGATATTGAGCATCTTTTCATATGCTTATTAGCTATGTGCATATCTTCTTTCATAAACTCTCTGTTCAGATCCTTTTTCATTTTTATTTAGTTGTCCTTTTACTTTTGAATTCTCAAAATTATTTTTATATTCAGATGAACATCCTATAAGACATTTATAATTTGTCAACGTTATTTCCAGTTCTGTGGGGTTCCTTTCATTTTCTTGTACTTCCTGTCTCTTGCAGCCCTCAAGAAAGCTTTACTGGAGGGTATCACTTTTGGTGTCTGCAAGGGGTCACAATAACTTCAGAGAAAAAATTGTGCCAGATACTAGAAATATATTTGAACAGGAACACTTGGCATAGTTCTGCTTATGCTGTTACTTAAAGGAGAGGGTATACAGTGATTTACCCTGTGGAAACTTGATGAATTCAATGATACAATGCTTTTTGAGAGTAAAGAAAATCTAAGAGGATTCTTGTCTCAATGTGAGGGTACTATCTCCCTGTAATGGCCTTTCTACTTTCAAACTCTCTGATAGGCTCGAGTTGGTTTCCCAGAAGTCCTGATAGGGATTCTCCCTGGTGCAAGAGGAACCCAGCTCCTCCCCAGAGTCACTGGAGTCCCGGCTGCTCTTGACTTAATTACTTCAGGTCAGTGTGAAACTTGCTAGGAACTGCCTAGATTGGTGTGGAGAAACAGCAGCTAGAAAAGTCTTGGTCTAATCACTTTGTGCTTATATATCCTTACAGGGATACTTTAATATGGAAATGGGTTTTGTCTTTAAATATAGCATACTTAGAACCCTCCTACAGATGGTAAAGAACTCCCTAGGTTATGATTCCTATAACTGTCTTTTTCTAAGGGAAACTAAGATGCAGATGTAAGTATTAGCTGATATTGTAGAAAATGTTCAATAAAAACAGCAAATTTTTAAAAATTATAACTGTGGTCATTGTGTACATTTTTCGTTGACATGTAATGAGTTTTCATTATTATTTTAAAATGTTTTATATAGAAACATTTTTCAGGCTCTGTTTTAATTTCTAAAATAGTAAATGGAGATAGATAATAACCTATATAAATAATAACTTTTGAGATTCCTCCCTAATTGTTAAGAATGCAAATGGTTGCTAAGAGTTACATGTTTGAGAGTTTTAGTAGAAATCTATAGGTTTTTACATAGAAACTATTGTAGAAAACTGTGTAACTGAGCCAAGTTTGAAAGTAATGAGTTATTTGAAATAAATTAAATATGATAAATCCTAATGAATATGAAAGGAAAGTTAGAAAAACTAAAAATATTGCATTTACTTTAAAAGTCAAGTTACAGATGACATTAATTTACAGTGATATGTTAGGCACATCTTGAAGAAGCTGAACCATTTTAAGTGTCTGATTTAGAATCTTTAGGAGGAGGCTTACACTCCAAGGTACAACGGAATTTCAATGCACTTGAGACAGTTTACTCTGCAAAGGACAAAAAACAAAGGAAGGAAAGAAGTATAAAAATCTATGAGAAAATCTTCATGGTATGAAATGAGCCTGCAAATCCTAAGCTTTCCAGAATTACACTTGGAGGGGAATGTACAGGAATTTTGGGACCCTACTTTCAGTATTAAAGTATTGAATACTTATTTGGCAAAAAGAAATGAACTGAACTAAGGTTGTTCTTTTCCCAAAACACTGCTTTAAGAAAAGCCACTGTTCTTCACATAAAGAGAAATAAAACACTAAGAATGAGCCAGGTGTAATGCACACCTGTAATCCCAGCACTTGGGAGGTTGAAGCAGGATGATCACCATAAGTACAAGGGTAGCTTCAGTTATGTAGCAAGACCCTGTTTCAAAAGATGAAAAAAAAAAATAGTAAAAATGTGACAGATTTTTCATTTGCATAGAAAAGGTCATAGTGAATTAGATGAACACTACCATTCGAATCATATACCTATCTTTTTTGTAGAATGTATAATTTTATACAGATTTAGAGTGACATTTTGAAGAGAGTTCCATGAAACTGAATTTATTTTGTAAATTTGGAAAAAAAAGTGATGAAGAAAATTGGAAAAGTATTTTGAAGCTCCAGCATAAAGAAAAGAGATCTCTACCTCAACTGAATTGGAGCCTTCTCAGAGTGGAGCTACACAGAGCTATTATTAGAACCTATTAGACAAAGGTTGATGTCTACACGGGATGGTGGCCCAAGATAAAGCAAGTTTAAAGCACAAGCTGATGCTGAGAACAGTGTTCCATGTCTAGAATCCCAACTGTTTTGGAGGTAGAGGCAGGAGGATCTCAAGTTCAAGACCAGCTTGGACAACTTACTGAGACTTTGCCTCAAAATAAAAATTTTAAAAGGGCTGGGACATTGGCTCAGTGGCAGGATGCTTGCCTAGCAAGGGAGGCCCTAAATTAATCCCTAGTACTACACTGGAGAAAAAAACAACAACAACAACAAACAACCCTAGGGGTTGGACTCACCCAGTGCTCTGAAATGGACTAAAAGTATTATAGATAACTAAGTTAGGTAAAAATATTATAAGCCATCAGCCAGGGCTGGGACCTCACGGGAGTCAGTGCAGAAGATAGCAACACAGTACAACTGTTAGTACAGGTGCATCTGTCAAAGGTCAGGCCTTTAAATAAAGACAAAATGACCAGGCCTATATGCCTCCTTGAGGGATAAGCAATAAATCAAAGATTATACTATAATTGATATCAGTAAAGCCTATATAGACATCAATCACCCAGGTAGATGATCAGGACCTCCAGTAAAGCCTATATAGACATCAATCACCCAGGTAGATGATCAGGACCTCCTAACCCACCCCTTCCTGAAAAAAGTCCTTGTTCACTTGCTATGTGACCTGCTTCCCCATTGGATCACTGTTACCTACGTGGCTATACTTACTGGTTGATCATGGTTTTGACCCACATTGTACCCACCTAGTAATTTTGCTCTATACAACTTCCTTTAAATAGTGGGCTCATTGGCAACCTATTTTGTGTCCCCATCTGTCTCTCAGGAGCTATCTCTCTCAATAAATTTTTCCTATATGTAACTCCATTGTTCCTTGGAATTCATTCTTCAGTTTTGGGGAACACGAGCTCAGCATTTCTAACATGTAACAGGCTGGGAGTTATATTATTTCCCCTCTGTCATTTGGAGGTCTGCACCAGGTTAACTGGAAGGAGGTAAGAGTTTGCTTTTGTTTCATGGATTCTGGATTATGACTCATTTAGGTAATCAGAAATTGTCATCCTTGTTGGTCAACTGGTTACCTCTTAACTTCTTATGCTTTATTTGTTTTACACATTGTTTTTTGTTAAAAGGATGATAAAATTAAGTTGCAAGCATGGGAGGATTATGATATTTCTTTAATAGGAAATTTTACTTTTCAGGCAAGGTCTTGTATTCCTCTGTTTATATGCTGCATTTGGACTTACTAGTTGCTGAAATTACTGATGTTCCTTGCTTGACCTGTTTGACTTGTTTTGACTGTTGCAGTTTGTTGTCCTATCTTAGACCACAGCACTAGGGAAAAGTAATGTTAGAATGACCCCTAGTGGACTTTGATACTAACCAAAATATGAATTTATGAAATGCTGTAAAATGGGTCATTTTATGAAATCTAGTTTACATTTAGGAAATATATTAAGTATAATAAATCATGGGACTCCAACTGCCAGTTAAAAGGCAATAGGTTGGCAGCCATTCTTAACACTTGGAGGACAGGCTTCAGTAGGACAATTTGACCTGATTCCCACCCTCTGTACTCTAGAGGGGAATATTGAGCCTGTTCTACTTCAGTTTCCATTTAGGTCTGATCTTCCACTGGTGAGGAGGCAATTGTAGCTCTTGAGATTCCCTACTCTCACCTTTCCAAGCTGAATGTGACAATTCATGGGCAAATTGTCTCAATAACTCACCATAGGTGTGAGAAGACTTCCTTTTTCTGATCTCATTTCTGATCTTTTCCTATCAGTTTGTACTTTTCTTTTTTAGAAGTATATGTCTGCTAAAGATTAGAGAAGGAGAGACCCTGACCTGTCTCAACCTTTCCTTCCTACCCAACAACTGAGAACTTTTAAGTTGAGCCTGTAGAAAATGAGCATTTGCTAATGCTAAAGACAGGGAAGTCATCTTAGGTGAGGAACATACAGCATATCTCTGGGTCTAATGAAACATCAGAATTTTGCCCATCCAGGAGAATATACATGAATGCGATGTCCTTGTTTAGTGTTCTGAGCACAGTCTCCTTGGTATGGGAAACTGAACCTGAGATTCTACGGAAAGAACTGATTTCTGGGTGAGACCAGAAGGAACTATTTCCTAAAGTGCAATATGTAAGGGACCAAAACACATTCAGTTTAAGGGAAAATCGATATCCAACCTCCTGGGTGTCCCTCCCCTTCTAGGTCTGGTTCTCATCGTTTATGTGTTCAGGGGAAGGAAGTACTTTCACTAATGTGTAAGTTGTCATTCCTGGATGGTAAATACACGTATTACCTTGTGAGTTCCATGAGTGTGTTGTAGATTTAGAGGCATAAGAAATTTTAGAGTGGATTTTGAGTAAAACTTAGCCTTGTCTTGTTGCTTAGGAAGATTGCCTAGGTGATTAGGTAGACAGCACAAATGTCTTGGGGACTTCTTTGTCCTAGGGCCCAGGACAAAATTTTTCCCAGCCATTACTTGCCTTTATATATCTCTGGAGGTGAATGACTGTTATAGCTAGAATCAGTTGTAGCTTGTGCTTTTGGAAACACATATTGAAAAAGAGCTGTTTAATATTTTTCTGTATGCTTGCATGGCCTGCCTACTCCCTACAGATAAAATGGAATGCAGAGGGAAGTATTTATTATGATAGATTAGTAAATAGGATTATACTGTGAGAGAGGGAAAATAGTCAAAATTACCTTATGTTCAGACATTCTTTGCATTAAGAGACAATCCTTACTGTGTTCAATGTGTAAATGCAAGCCACAAGAAAATCAGACACTTCTGGGCCTTAAGACACAATCAGATGCATCTACTATTACTGAGCCTGTGGTTCCCCTCCATTGCATTTCAGATTCTAAGAACAAGGTTTCCAAGGTAACTGTAATTAAAGCCTCGCCTACAATTACTGAACCTGAGGTTCCCCTTACTTGCCCTCTGGGCTGTAAGGGCAAGGCTTCCATGCCAACCTTAACTGAAGCTTCTAATGGGCTACCTCTATCCCTATCTGACTTTGTTCAAGCTCCTTAAGGACAGTATCTCTTACAGGAGGTGGGTAGAGAATTTGGCCCTACCCATGTCAATGTGTCTTTTCTCTTCTTGACCTCAAACAAATCAAACAAGACCTGGGAAAATTTTCAGAAGACCCTGACAAGTATATCCAAGTCTTTAGGGGACTTACACAGACCTATGAATTAGACTGGAAAGATGTAATGTTGCTCTTAAATCAAACACTGATTTCTAATGAGAGACAAGCAACATTACAAGCTGCTGTTACATTTAGAGATGAATATCATATTGTTAATTTTAAAATGCCAGAAGACAGGCAGCCAAGGAAACAGCTACTTCCTACTAGAGCCCAAACAGTCCCTGCACAAGATCCCTACTGGCCTACCAACTAGATAGGAGATTGGAATAGGTAACATCTTCAAACACA